AGCGCCCCTGCGCGGAATCCGCCGAGCTGAGCAGGCTGCTGCTGCAGGCGCTGGGTTCCGCCCTGACGCTCGAGCGCGGGGACTCAGGATCGGCGCCCCCGCAGTGTGTGTGTGTGTGTGTGTGAATGTGTGTGTGTGAGTGTGTGTGTGTGAATGTGTGTGTGTGTGTGTGCGTATGTCGTGTGTGTGTGTGTGTGTGCGTGCGTGCGTGCGTGCGTGTGTGAATGTGTGTTTGCTTGACTGTGTTGGCAATACTTGCCCTACACCACCCATGCGGCTTGGCCGCCCATGGTGCTGGGTTCTTGTTTGCGCCCCGCCCGCGTGACGCGTGGCATGTCCCACGGCGTCCATGTCGCGGCCAGTACCTTTGCAAGCTGCGCCGCCTTAGGCGGGCTCCAGCCGTCGGCTCGGAGACTGAGGATGAAGAGACGGAGCAGGATGGGGATGATGACGAGAAGGAGTATGACAAGGATATAATAAAGAGGATGAGGCGGATGAGGAGGAGGAGGGTGAGGGTGAGGGTGAGGGTGAGGGTGAGGGTGAGGGTGAGGGTGAGGAGGAGGAGGAGGAGGAGGAGGAGGAGGAGGAGGAGGAGGGAGGATTTGTGATGAGGGCGAGGCAGAGGATGAGGCCGCTTTCGGTCCAGCCGTCCTGCCTGGAGTTCTCGACCCCTCCCCCCCCTCCCCCTCCCCTCCGCCCCGCCTCTGGCAGCGGCGGCAGTGGCGGCGATCGTCGTCGTCGACACCGTCGGCGTCCGTGCTCCTGCGCTCTCGCCTCCTCCTCCTCCTCCTCCTCCTCCTCCTCCTCCGCCTTCCTCTCTTCTCTCCTCCTCCTCCCTCCCTCCCTCCTCCTCCTCTCCTCCTCCTCTCTTCCTCTCTCCTCCTCCTCCTCCTCCTCCTCCTCCTCCTCCTCCTCCTCCTCTGGCCCTTTCCCCTCGTGCTTTCCGCTTTTCGCTGGCGGGGGGCAAGAGGCCACGCTCCGCCCCGCAGCGCGCTCCTTTCGCCGCCACGGCGCGGCGGCGTGCCGCCCCCTCGCGCAGGCTGCAGCCACGCTGGGCGCCCAGAGGGCAGGCCCGGTACGGGAGGCCGCCCCCGAGAATGGGGGAGGGCGTGGCCGAGCCCAGCTCGGCGGCGAGCGAGGGGGGGGGCAGTGAGAAGGAGAAGGCCCTCTCTCTAGGCCTCCTCCTCCTCCTTCTCCTCCTCCTCTTGCTCTTCCTCCTCTTCCTTTCTCCTCCTCCTCCTCCTCTTCCTCCTCCTCCTCCTCCTCGGAAGCGTTCTCGGAAGGCGCGAGGGCTTATGAGAAGTCCCGCCGTCCTCTGAGAGTAGAGCTCTCCTGGGTGGGGTCCGAGTAGATGGGGTCGGAGGATCGCGCCGCATCGTCAATGCATCGGCGATGCCACGCTGGCGTCGCCGATGCATCGCCGATGCATCGGCGATATATCGCCGATGTATCGGCGATGCGGCGCGATCCTCCGACCCCATCCACTCGGAACCCATCCAGGAGGGCTCTACTCTCAGAGGACGGCGGGACTTCTCAGAAGCCCTCGCGCCTTCCGAGAGAACGCCTGCGTGTCTGCGGGGAGGGCACCGGAGAGCTCTCTGAAGGCCGGGGGGGACTTCCGAGCCTTTGAGAAGGCTGGCCCCGTCTCGCTTCCCCCCGAGGCCCGACCAACGACTCACAGCTGTCCACCCGAGGTGTTCTGCTGCGGACCGTCTCGGCTGGGACCCCTGGCGCCGAGTCTTGGGGAGGCCCCAGGTGCAGAATCGCCCCGGAACCGTTCCAGAGCGATCTCCAGTTCGGGCCTCCCCCTTAAGTACAGAAAGCGCCATCTCGGGGAGATAAATGGGCAGGGATGAGCCTGCGCCCCAAAAAGTCGCCATCTTCCGAGCAGATTCTCTGATTTGGTAGCCTTCTCTCTCGGCTGGCCCCCCCGCCGAAATCTCGGGGGGGCTTGCAACGAAGGATTGCAAACAACCGAAGGATTGCAAAAACACCCTTCGTTTTTTTGCAATCCTTCGTGCAAAAAAACCGAAGGGTTTTTTTTGCAATCCTTCGTTTTCTTGCAATCGATGGAACAAAAACTCTCCCGAACGGCTCTGGGGTGATCTTCGATTCGGGGCCCCACGAGATTTCAGCGGGGGCCTCGTGCCGAGAGAGACGTCTACCCCAAGGCGAGAATTTTTTCTGGAAGGCGGAGAGCTTTTGCGGGGCTTGGGTATACCCTCCAGTCATCTCCGAGAGGGCTTGCCGTGCTGGGGTCGCGCCAGATGGGAAATCACCCCGAAACGGTTCTGGGGGTGATTCTCCTACTCGCCCTCCCCCCCCCCGCCCCCGAGACTTTAGCGGGGGGGGGAGCACCCCAGGCAGCAGTCTCCCCAAGAAGAGAGCTCTTCTCCCCCGGGGCAAACGACGATTTGCGGGTCCGGGTACGCCCCCCCCACTTCGCCCCTAGAGCGCCTGGTGCATTTCGGGACGGACCATGGAACATCACCCTGGAACGGTTCCGGGGTGATCTCCCATCGTTGGGCGCTCCCGCGACTCAGGTGGGGAGCCCGGCAGAGACAGAAGGCCCCCCCCCCCAACAAGGGATTTCGGGCGGAACGGATTGCAATTCGGGGGGGCGGCTACACCCTCCCACACTTGTCCCTGAGAGCGCCTGCTGCACTGGGGTCGATGCGTTCCCTCTGTGAGCCTGCCCCCCCTCTCGTTGCGCCTGAGGGCGGCAGCCCCACGGCGGGCCGCAGAAGGGGCTTCTGAGGAGGAGGAGGAGGAGGAGGAGGAGGAGGAGGAGGAGGAGGAGGAGGGGGAGGGGGATGGGGAGGGGTAGGAGGGATCCTGGATGGAAACGCATCTTGTAACGGACCTGAGTTCCTTTCCCATCAGGAGCGCTCCGACGCTGGAGCTGAGGAGCCACGCCGAGAGAGAAGGCCCTCCAGCATGATATTTCTAGTACATTCAGAACATAGCGGCTCTTCGGTGCTCGGGTGCACCCCCCCCCCACACACACACACACATCCAAGAGACCGCCTGCTGCACTCGGGGACCGAGGGGTCCTCGACTCAGAATCTCCCTGGAAAGGTTCCGGGGTGATCTTCCAGGGGGGGGCGCTTCCGACGTCCGGCTGTGGGGCCCAGTGTCCCACCCGCCGAGTGGGCTCTGCGGGGGCGGGCCCCGCAACCCCCGCGATTCGCCTCCCCCGGGGGCCGCAGCAGAAGCCGTCCCGTCCCCGTCGGAAGACGCACATGCAGAGGAGGAGGAGGAGGAGGAGGAGGAGGAGGAGGAGGAGGAGGAGGAGGAGGAGGAGGAGCATATGCGCCTCTTGGGCTCCCGCAGCGTCCCACGCGGCCGAGCAGGCTCCCGAAACGGCCGGGGGTCCAGGGGCCGAGCGTGCGCATGGCGATGCCGAGGGCCCTGGCCGTCCTACAAGGCTTCCGACGGCCCCAAGGGGACCCGATTCGCAGAAGGACCTGTCCCCGACGCCCTGATGGCTTCCAAGTGGCCCCACGCGCCACCAAGAGACGCTGCGCGGGAGCCTGCGGACGGCCCACAGCGCCACCGAGGCGCTCCAAGCTTGGTTTCAACTGGGCACCCCCAGAGGACCCCGAATCAGTTGGTTTCCGTTGGTTTGGGGCGTTTTTCCTGCGCCTATGATTCGTTCCGCGACCCAGCGCTCCAGGACTCCGTCAGGGGCCCCGAGAATCGCCCCGAGACGGCCTCGGAGGCTCCCAAGTAGGCGCTGGGACGGCGTTCCCCCAGCGGGCGCACAGTAATAAACGAGGCCACCCCCTGGGCACAAAACTTTGCATCCTGGGGTCCAGGGCTCTTTTTCGGAGCTCCGGGAGGTTTTTATCGGACTCAAGGGCTGTCGACGTCGCGATGTCGAGCGGCGTTGGGAGGCCACCACTGTGGCCAAGACGTGTCCCAGAAGGCCCAATTTGGCGCCCATGACGTTTCTACACGCTTCCAATGTGGCTTGGGACCCGCCAAGAACGCTCCACGTCAGCTCCAAGAGGCCTCTGGGGGATTTCCCGATTGTTGTTCAGTGATTTTAGCGTGCTCGTTTTGTTTGCCCTCAGAGCGTCCGAGATGACCCAGGAGGCACCCCAGATTACCCCAAGACGGCCCGAAAAAGGGGCGCCAACAACTGTCCAATTACAGCCAAACAAGGCCCAAGAGGGCCCCTCGATGCCCCAATCCCAAGACTGCCCAGGATGGGCCCAAGACGGCCACGAGACGACGCCAAGAGACGCCCATGTGGTGATGCGGCAGTAGTGTTGGCAATTCCATTGCCGCGTAATTGGCCCAAATGGCACCAACAACGCTTGTGTGGTGGGCCAGTCGTTTTACGTAGATGGAGGTGACCCCCCCAATCGCGGACAAATGTATATCTACACATACATATACATGTACATACACATGCATTCATATAGCCACATACGTATACACATCTATATTTACAGGCATATACATATATAGACATATATCTCTCTATATATGCATGCATATATGCATGTATGTATGCATGCATGCATGCATGGATGTATGCATGCATGCATGCATGCATGTATGTATGCATGTATGTATGTATGTATGTATGTATGTATGCGTGTAGGTAAGTAGGTAGGTAGGTAGGTATGGAGGTAGGTAGGTCGGTAGGTAGATATGTAGGTATGTATACATGTATGCATGCATGTACGTACATATTTATGTTTGTATGCATGTATGCATGTATGCATGTATGCACGCATGCATGCATGCATGCATGCATGCATGCATGCATGCATGTATGTATGTATGTATGTATGTATGTTTGTATGCATATATGCATGCATGCATGCATGTATGTATGCATGCATGTATGTATGCATGCATGCATGTGTGTGTGCATGTATGTATGTATGTATGCATGTATGTATGCATGTATGTATGTATGTATGTATATATGTATGTATGCATGCATGCATGTATGTATGTATGTATGTATGCATGCATGCATGCATGCATGCATGCATGTATGTATGTATGTATGTATGTATGTATGTATGTTTTTTTATGCAGGCATGTGTGTATGTATGTATGTAGGAATGCATCTATATGCGTGTATGCATACATATATATAATATATGTATATGTGTATGCATGCATGCATGCATGCATGCATGCATGTCTGTCTGTCTGTCTGTCTGTCTGTCTGTCTGTCTGCATGTATGTATGTATGTATGTATGTATGTATGTATGTATGTATGTATGTATGTATGTATGTATGTATGTATGTATGTATGTATGTATGTATGTATGTGTGTATGTGTATGTATATGTGTGTGTGTGTGTGTGCGCCCCGCAGACGCTGCCCATGAAACCACGCCCTCATTTCGGAATGCTACACCTGCGGCCGCTTATCGTTACCCGCGCGGCAAGTCGCTGTCTTGGCAGCTGGGTAGCCCTGGTCTGGGGAGGGGGTGGGGAGTGAGAAGAGATGGATCTAGGGGAACGAAGAATGACATAAACATAAAAACTCGGAGGTCCGCGCGGATTTCTCGGGTCGGCGCTGGACCCCCCTCCCTCGCGCGCGGAGCGCGCCAGGGGTGGCGCCGGAGGCGCCGCCAGGGGGGTCCAGCGAGGATCCGAGGACTCCGCGCGGACCTCTGAGTTTTTATGTTTAAGTCATTCTTCGTTCCCCCAGGATCGGGAATCGGCGGTGCCGAACGGGGACAGTTTCAAGGGCGGCCTTCCAATCCAGCGGGGTGCTTCTTAAATGCTCTCCTTACATCTGCGCCTGTTTCTCTTCACTCCCTGCAGAGCGACCGCTGTGCGGGAGATTCTGAAGTCTGCGAGGGGGAGCGGCGATGGACCAGCTCGTGATCTGGTGGTAGGGACCAGCTCGTGATCTGGTGGTGCGGGGGCGTCTGACCCAGCCTGCGGCGCAAGCTGCGGCGCGGAGGACGGTGGCGGCCAGCTCGTGGTTTGGGGGTGCCAAGCGTCTGGTGCAGCCCGCGGCGCACGAAGGCGGAGGGGACCAGTTTTTGCCCTGGGTGGCGCGGGGTGTCTGACGCAGTTCTTGGCAGCGTCGTGCCGTGCTCTCGCGCGTGTTGTTCAGGGGTCTTCTCGGCGGGGTGAGGCCTTCTGGGCATGTGGCTCTCCGTCGCCTCCCCCTCCTCCCCTTCCCCCCCGCCTCCTCCCCGGGAACGCGCCGGAACCAGGGGAACGAAGAATGGCATGAACAGAAAAACTCGGAGGTCCGCGCGGATTTCTCGGATCCGCGCTGGACCCCCCTGGCGGCGCCTCCGGCGCCGCCCCTGGCGCGCTCCGCGCGCCAGGCAGGGGGGGTCCAGCGCCGACCCGAGAAATCCGCGCGGACCTCCGAGCTTTTCTGTTCATGCCATTCTTCGTTCCCCTGGTTCCAGCGCGTTCCCCCCTAGTGCCAGCGCTGGTACATCACCACCCACCAAACCACCCCAACCCAACCCGAAGGCCTCAATTGCTCTCCATTTCCAGTTGGGGGGGGGGTCGGGGAACACTGAAAAAACACATGTGGAACCCGTACCCCCCCCAACCCGAAATTGGGGTCTTCGGGTTAGGTTGGGGTGGTCTGGTAGGTGGTCAGTACAGCGAGGCCCTGCCCCGTGCGGCGCGGAGGACGGGCGCGCGCCCTCGAGGGCGCCCTCCGGGGCGCCATCCGGTGCGCGGCCGCCGTGGGAGACAGGCGCCCTTCGGGGGGTGCGCGTGAGTGCCGCCCTTCCTGCGGCGACGGTGGTGCCGACGCTGGTGATCATGATTCACCAGCCTCGAACTTATCCCTATCCCTAAGATTGACACGCCAAAAGGCGATGGCAATCTTAGGGATTCGCCTTGAAAAACTAAGGGAATCCCTAAGATTGGCATCATGATGAGGAGATGCCCAGCATAGGGATAGGGATATGTTCCAGGCTGGTAAATGATAGTGCTCTTGCTGCTGCTGCTGATGGTTATGCTGATGGTGATGCTGATGGTGATGCTGACGATGATGCTGCCGCTGCTGATGTCGACGGTGGTGGTGGTGATGGTGGTGATGATGGTGATGGTGACGACGACGATCATGGTGATGATGATGATGATGATGATGATGGTGGTGGTGGTGGTGGTGGTGATAATGTTGAGGATGATGATTATGATGATGATGATGGTTATTGTGATTATTGTGATGGTGACGATGACGCTCATGACGATGGCGATGACCATGAGGATGGTAATGATGACGACGATCCTGATGACGATGACGATGAGGACGATATCGATGATGACAATGACGATGACGATTGCGGCGACGATGGCGGTGATGATCACGACGATGACGGTGATGATGACGATGATGATGACGACGATCATGACGGTGATGGTGACGATGATGATGATGATGATGATAATTTGCAGATGATGGTGATGCTGGTTATGGTATGATGATGATGGTGATGCTGAGGACGACGATATTGAGGAATATGCTGTTCACGGTCAGGTTGGGTATGATAATGCTGAGGATGATGACGAAGACGATGTTGATGATGTGGTTGATGATGTTGATGATGTTGATGATGTGGTTGATGATGATGATGATGATGATGATGCTGATGATGATGATGATGATGCTGCTGCTGCTGATGATGATGATGATGATGATGATGTGGATGTTTACGATGCTTGTACTGCAACTGATGACGCTTATGCTGTGTAGTAGAGCGATGCTGTTGAGTATGACGACGATGGCGATGTTGTCGATGATGTTGTTTATGATAATTTCGGCGATGACGGCGCTGCTGCTGATGATAATGAGGAGAGGAAGGAGGGAGTTAACGACGATGCCGACGGCGACGACGACGACGGTGGTTGGGATGATGGTAACGATGCCGAGGATGAGGATAGCGATGATGTCATGATGTTGATGATGAAGTTGCTGATAATGATATCGCTGCTGCTGATGATGATGACGTTGCTTGTGGCTATGTTGATGTTGGTGACGGTGAGCATAAGGATGAGGATGACGATGAGGATCGGGATGATGATTGCTGCTGCTGCCGATGACGATGACGGTGACGATGATGATGATGAGGAGGTTGATGATGATGATGATGATGATGATGATGATGACGATCATGATGATGATGCTGATGATGAAGATGACGATGACGATGACGACGGTACTGCTGATGATGATGATGCTATTGATGATGATGGTTATGACGATGTTGATGATGATGGTGATGTGGTTGATGAGGGTGATGCTGATGATGATGATTTCTGTGCTGGTGGAGGTGGTGGTGGTGGTGATGATGATGATGGTGGTAATGATGATGACGATAATGCTGATGATGATGTTGTTCTTGATGGCGATGATAATGCTGATGCTGATGATGATGTCGATGATAATGATGATGATGATGATGATGATGATGATGATGATGATGATGGTGATGATGATGCTGATGATGGTGATGATGATGATGCTGCTGATATGATGCTGATGCTGATGATGGTGGTGGTAATGATGATGATGCTGGTGCTGGTGATGCTGATGATGATGATTCTGCTGCTGATGATGCTGATGGTGATGATGATCATGATGGTGATGATGCTGATGATGATGACGATGCTGATTCTGCTGATGATGATGTTGATTGAGATGACTGGGTTGATGATGATGCTGATGATGCTGCTGACGATGCTGATGCTGATGCTGATGATGATAAAGATGATGATGATGACGACGATGATGACGATGATGATGCTGATAATGATGATGATGCTGATGATGATGATGATGATGGTGCTGGTGATGATGATGCTGATGATGATGATGATGATGATGATGTTGGTGCTGGTGATGCTGATGATGATTCTGCTGCTGATGATGATGCTGATGGTGATGATGATCATTATGGTGATGATGCTGATGATGATGACGATGCTGATTCTGCTGATGATGATGTTGATAAAGATGATTGTGTTGATGATGATGCTGATGATCTGGCGATGATGATGCTGATGCTGATGCTGATGCTGGTGATAATAAAGACGATGCTGATGATGATGCTGCTGACGATGCTGATGCTGATGCTGATGCTGATGCTGATGCTGATGAAGATGATGATGATGATGATGATGATGATGATGATGATGATGATGAGGATGAGGATGATGATGATGATGGTAATGCTGATATTGGTGATGATGCTGATGATGCTGATGATGATGACGATGACGGTGACGGTGACGATGATGATGCTGATGATGATGATGTGGTTGATGATGATGATGATGCTGATGATGATGATGCTGATGCTGCTGCTGCTGATGATGATGATGCTCATGATGATGATGATGCTGATGCTGATGATGATGATGATGATGATGATGATGATGATGATGATGATGATGATGATGATGATGATGATGATGATGATGATGATGATGCTGATGCTGATGCTGATGCTGGTGCTGATGATGATGATGATGATTATGATGATGATGATGATGCTGATGATGACGATGATGATGATGATGATGATGATGATGATGATGATGATGATGATGATGATGATGATGATGATGATGATGATGATGATGATGATGATGACGATGATGATGATGATGATGATGATGATGATGATGATGATGATGATGATGATGATGATGATGATGATGATGATGATGATGATGATGATGATGATGATGATGATGATGATGATGATGATGATGATGATGATGATGATGATGATGATGATGATGATGATGATGATGATGATGATGATGATGATGATGTTTGTGCCCCACGGGAATGATCTGGCCTTTGCATCCGCTTGTTCCGCTCTGCAGGCTTTTTGGTTTAGGAGTGAATGGAGGGCTTCGGCCCCTTGCTGGCCACTCTCTCAACTCTTCGAGAGCTGGCACTCTTTCGCCAGCTGGCCTTCCCGAAGCCCGTGGATTGCCATTGCGAGGTGCCTCCGCCCGAGGCGGGCCGTGACTGGCGAGTGCCGCCTGCTGGCCGACCTGGCGAGCCGCCCCTCGCAGTGCGTGTGGAAGTGCGACTGCTGCTGTGAGTCCGCTGGCGTCGAAGGCGGCTGGGGCAGCCTGTTCTTGCTGTTCCTCTTCGTGCCCGCGTTGGTGGGCGCTTTCCTCGCCAGTGTGGGTGTCGGGCGCGGCTTGATCCGTTCCACGACTTCAGCGCGCGCGAACGCCGATTACCCTACCACGGACAGTGACGATGGCGACGCCCGAGAGGGTCCAGCACTTGGTGGTCGGCGATCGGGTCCTCGTCTGCTACTTCCAGGACGCGGGCGAGGCGGTGGTGGAGTGCCATGAGCGGGTGCTACCGGCCCGTATCGTGGACACCAACTTGGTCGTCATCTCGCGTGACTTCGACATCTTCGAGGAGGACCTGGAGGAGAGTGTCGGGCTCCGAAAGTTCGGTGCGGGAGGTGCTGTGCCTCCCGCGCTTCGAGGCTCGCTGGTGTTCCTCATTCACCACTTCGCGTTCGGGAAGGATCGCCAGTACTACATGGTACATGGGCATGGGCGTGGTGCTGGCCAAGGGGCTCCGCCCGGGTGACGTGGTGACCGCTGTAGCGGCGGAGAAGCAGGGCCCCCCAGAGCCGCCGCCAGGGCGCTGGGTGGCCGCGGAGCGCCGTGGCGGACTGGAGGTTGGCGAGGCGCTGGTGGCGCATATGGGCGAGTGGCTTCACGTCGCCAACAGAGGTGCCTGTTCACGCTGACGGACGGCGCGGTGCTGGCCGGTGGTCTCGAGGGCTCGGTGGAGCTTGCGGCGACGGCGGCGGTGGAGGACTCGCGCATCCTGCCTGTGAAGAAGGACGGGGTGCGCCGTCACCGTCGCTCGTTCGCGGACGCCCTGCGCGCCATGAGTGTGGTCGATCTTGGCACCAACTGGGAGATCGACTGGCCACGGTCAGCGCTCTTCTTGGTGGACCGCATCCACGAAGGAAACCAGTGGCCAGTTCAGCGGCATTACTGATGGCGATCAGTGCTGGGATTGGCGGCGTCGGGTGTAGGGGTTGACGAACACTTGCTGCTGTCCCAGCTGATGGAGGTGGCGCTGACGATCGACCAGGTTCAGGTCTGCAACCTGGCTTCCTTCGAACTGATCAGCCGCCGCTACCAGATGTGGGAGAGCGCGTGCAAGGATCTCCTGCGCGAGGTTGACACGGGCTCCGCTGGCGGCGACGACTGGCTCGACGAGCGCTCTTTGTTTCTGGGCGTCAAGAACCTGCGCAGCAGTGCCATCGTGATGCCAGAGTTGGAGGACTTCGTTGCGAGGGAGCTACCCGCTCGCGCTGCCGTCTTGAAGGAGCGTCGCAAGGCGCGGGGGGAGGCCGCCCTGGCCAAGGGTATCGACACCCCGTCGGCGAAACAGACCGCCAAGGGAAAGAAGGGTGATAAGGGAGGGGGTGGTTTGCTTGACCGCCGTCCTCCGTTTTGTCTTTTGCCGCCCGCGCGCGAGCGGTGCCCTTCCCGCGGCCGCCGCCCGCAATCGTCCCGTGGCGATGCGTCGAGCGGCGCGCCGCGGCGCGCAGCGCGCGCAGGGGTTGAAGCAAATGCGCGAATGCGCAGTGACCAGAGGTCCGCGCGAGCAGTGGCCGCGCCGGGCCCGGGTTCCGGCGCGAGGCGCAGCCGTGCCAGAGCGCGCGTAGCTTCGGATTGGAGGCATCGTTGAAGCAACTGCTCGAGGATTGCCGCGGCGAGATTTGGTCCACCGCGTCTCAAACGCGCTGCTCCGCGCTGCGGGTCTGCCGTTTTGTCGCAGTGGATATCCGGCAGGTTGCCCTATTCGTCGGTGATCGTGGCCTCTGGGCGTGGTCCGTTGAAACTCGACCGCGGCGGCCGCGGCTCTGTTTGCTGGTCGTCGGTCGTTTGTGCTGGTGCATGGCGTTGGTCCTCTGGCCTGGCAGTTGGCGGTTCCGTGATTGCCGATGGCATCTTGTGCCGGTGCGTGGTCTGCGATGGTCCTGCGCGCGCCAGTTTGATTGCCGCTGGCGTTTTTGCGCTGGAGCCCGACGGCGGCGCTTGGGTCGCCGGGGCGGGCGGCGGTGGTCCTTGCGGCGAGGCTGGCAGGGCTGGCCTCTGGATGTCAATTTTGGTCGGGTCGTGGGGTGGTTCGTGCTTCGGGGCGGCGGCGGTCGGCGCGCGGGGCGCGAGTTGGTGCGGGGCGGTCGCGGTCGGCTGCCTGCCGCGATGTTGTCCGCTGCTGCGTAGATCGCGGCGATGATGGCTGTCGTCCGCTGGGATCGCCACCTCAATCGTTTCTGCTGCGGTCGTATGACCGCCTGAAACACCTACTGGTGCCTGTCGATGCCGATGCCCCCCTGGGAATGGGAAGGTGACCTCGGGCGAGCCCCCTTGTCAATGGCCTCGTCCAGGCATGTTGGTTCCTGGTTTCGCCAGCGCACGGTGTGCGAGCATGGTGATCGGCCGTTGCCCAGCGAGCTGAACGCTGCCGCGGTCCGCGCGGTGCGTGGGCGTTCGCGCCAGGGGCCTCGGTGCGCAATCCAAAGGATTGCTGCGCGGCCAGTTCAATTCAGCCCGGGGGCGTGGCGCACGCCAACACGATATGAGCGCGCTGGAAGTGATTCGCGCGCGACGCTAGGGGATCTGAGTAATTTGAGCGAGCGTTTTCCACGCTAGTGTGGTGGCGTGCCATTGTTGTCAGCATGTGCATTCGGGCGAATGCGTACTTCCGTTTGTCGCCGAAGTCACATTTGTATTTCGATTTTCGTTCGCCGAAGTCACACTTGCACTTCGGCTTTTCGTTGAAGTCACATTTCCGTTTACGGCCGCTTCAGATTTCATATTTTTGCACGTAACAAATATTGTGTTCACATGTGTTTCGTAGCAGTTTGCCTGCTCCGGGCCGTCGTAATTTCAGGACTTTCCTCATATAGCATTGGCCTGTCCTGTCCCCGACAATCTTCGAGTGTCCCCGTCTCTGGTGGCCTTGCCCTCCATTCTTTTTCAGTTGTTCTGGGGGCGCGCGTCAAGAAACCATATGCCTTTCGTCAGGATCATGGGTTTCTTCGCTCCGCGCGCTGCGCGTTGAGTTACCGCAGCCGTTAAAGAAACTGCTGCGTTCAGGGTGCTTTTGGCTTCCCCTCAGGTGCACGTCGCGCGCGGGTTTTCAGGGTTGAGTTTCTTGGGAGGGTTTCCTGCGGCCGCGCCAGCACTGTATCCCCCGTCTCGCTGACTGGGGTTCACCTGTCAGGGTCATACGCGCGCTCGCATGCAGGTATGAACAGCAGGAGGAGGAGGAGGAGGAGGAGGAGGAGGAGGAGGAGGAGGAGGAGGAGGAGGAGGAGGCGGAGGAGGAGGAGGAGGAGAGGAGGAGGAGGAGGAGGGAGGGAGGAGGAGGAGGGGAAGAGGGGGAAGAGGGGGAGGGGGGGAGGAGGAAGAGGAGGAGAAGGAAAAGGAGGAGGAGGAGGAGGAAAAGGAGGGGGAGGAGGAGGAGGAGGAGGAGGAGGAGGAGGAGGAGGAGGAGGAGGAGGAGGAAGAGGAAGAGCAGGAGGAGGAGGAGCAGGAGGTGGAGGAGGGGGGAGGAGGAGGGGATGGAGGAGGAGGAGGATGAGGAGACGGAAGAAGAGGGGGAGGATGATCAGTGTCCTCGTGACAATAGACAGCTGGGCCTCCCCCAGGGGCGCGAATTTACTCGCGCTTCGCACGCCGCCGCGGCGCCGTGGCGCCAATCTAACCGCGCGTCGCGCCTCGCGAGGCGCGCTGCGTGATGTTAGGTGACTTGGGAGAGCTTGTTGCGTGAAATCCCCGCTTAATGTTTCGGCGGCGCACACCAGGAGGTGGGGCGAAGGGAATGGCCTCTTGGAAACGGGCTTGGAAAAGGGACTGCCTCTAAGAAGCTCTTCCGCTTCAAAGGAAACCCCTAAGAGGCCACCGAGCCTTCCACCGAACCCCCCAGCCTGATCACAAGGCTGGTGCTCTTTCCAGGGTCAGCTTCAGCGCGCGTGGGCAGGCGGGGTCCGGCAGACCCCCGACGCAATGTTTTTTCACACCGTGGCTCTCGATAGGTGTCGACCCTTCCCCCTGGATCTGTTTTGCCTTCCGTGCCGTCTTTTGGGAGGTCCTGGGACCCGCTAGGGGGCCCCCGTAAACCGAGAATGGCCGAACACCTCCCGTCGCGATTTTTCGGCGACTCGAGCTGGATCAGGGGCCGTGGGCAAGTAGTATATCCGTATCTGCGGCCTCGCTGGGCGGGCTCCCAGGCCGCGACCCCGCGGATATACGAGGCGTTTTTCCAGGGGGGTCCCGCGCGGAACGTGTCGCTGGGCGACCGCGCGCCCGCGGGATAACGCCCTGGACGCCGGACCGCGAGGGAGCGGGCATAGACATGTGCTCGCCGCAAGTGGTGGGTCCGTAGCCTCTGGCTCAGAGCCGGGTGCGCGGACCCAGTGGCCTCTGCACAGGGCCGGGGCCGGGCGGCCCCTCCGTGCGCGGCCTGGCGCTGGCGCCCCGTCGGACCAGGTTCGCCGCCAGTCCCGGGCGGGGCGCGGGGGCACCAGCCGCCCATGTCGGCCATTCTCGGCGGCGGTGCGGTCTCGCAGGAGGACATGCAGGCGGAGGCGCAGCTGACGCAGGGGATGTTGACGCAGCTGCCGCAGCCCTTGCAGAAGCAGATCGAGCAGGCGGTGAACGAGTACCGCCAGCAGCTGACGGACCAGGGCATGACGGCCGAGCAGCTGCAGATGTTTGTGTGGAGGTACTACACCCAGGTCGTGAAGCAGCTGTACCAGAAGCACCAGTCGGCGCCGCCCGCGCCAGACACTGGCGCGGAGCAGGACGACCAGGCACCCGGGGCGCCGCAGCTCGGCCAGTGGGCGCAGATGCAGCAGGTCCAGCAGATGCAGATGCAGCAGCGGCAGCAGCAGCAGCAGCAGCAGCAGCAGCAGCAGCAGCAGCAGCTGCAGATGCAGCAGGGCCTGCTGCGGCCGCGGCTGGCAGCGCAGGGCCTCGGCATGCGGCCCGGCCTTGGCCCCGCCCCTGGCATCATCAGACCCACTCGCAGCCCGATGCTGGCGGGGTTCGGGGGCGGCGACGAGGCCACGGGCTCTGGGGCGGCTGGCAGCGGTGCCGGCGCGGATGCGGGGGAGCAGGACTCCTCGATGCAGGGCTCCTCGTTCGCCGGCATGCACGCGGTGACGGGCACGTCCGTCAAGGCCGGTGGCGCCATGCCTCAGGCGTGGAGCCAGCAGAAAGGGGAGATGTGGACCCAGCAGAAGGGCGAGGGGTGGAATCATCAGAAGGGCGCCCTCGGGCCCAACGGCATGGTGCGATTCCCGCTGAAGGGCTGCGGCAAGGGGGCGATGGGCTCTCAGGCTGGATGGGGCGACGGGTTCTCAGGCAAGGGGGCGATGGGAGCTCAGCTGCAGCAGGGCCAGAAGGGTGGCATGGGGATGACCGGGCCAGGCATGATGATGGGCGCCATGTCGGGCTGCAAAGGCCCTGGAGGCATGGCAGGCTGTAAGGGTGGCATGATGGGCTGCAAGGGTGGCATGGCGGGCTGCAAGGGCGGCGCGGTGGGCTGCAAGGGTGGCATGGCTGGCAAGGCGGGCGGCATGGCCAGCAAGGGCCCAGCCAAAGCCGCCGGGCCTCAGTTCCCTCCTGCGCTGCAGAAGTGGCTGCAGCGTCTGTTCGAGAGCCAGAAGGGTCAGTCTGGGGAGACGGACCCGGAGCTGCACAAGCTGATGCATCAGTACTTGAAGCACTGGGTGCAGCAGTGGGTGAAGTCTGGGGAGCTGTGGAACAAGAATTGGGAGGTCGCCGCCCTGCCCACCGCCGACGAGATCCGCGCCAACCTCGCGCCTGGCACGCTCAGCGGCCAGGCGCCCGGCGCGCCCATGCAGGCCGGCTGCAAGGGTAAGGGGTTCATTCCGGGGAGCAAATAATGGCATAAGCATTGACTTTCGGAGGCGCGCGCGGATTTCTCGCAGCGGCGTCTTGGAGCCCCTTGGCGGCGCCTCCGGCGCCGCCCCTGGCGCGCTCCGCGCCTTCTGGGGAGAGGAGGTTCCCAGCGCCGATCCCAGAAATCCGCGCGCACCCGCGGTCCTCCAACAGTTTATGCTGGGATGCAACTACTAGGAGGTTAGATTCTGACTTGCCCTTGTCCGAATTCTGGTTTAATCCAGCTTAATCCCGCTGAGTCCGGTTTCATCCCACTGAATCCCGCTGAATCCCGCTCAACCCGCGGCCCAATCTGGCGTAGCAGCCCCCCAGTGGGGCTCCATCCTCTTCGACCCCTCCGACGACGGCCTCCTCCCAGTGGCTGCCTCCTGAGGTCCACGCTCGTGCCATTCTTTTGCCTCCCGACTCGTGGGCAAGGGCTGGGCCATGACCCAGCCGACGTCCAAGGCCAAGGGCGGCTCCCCGCCGCGAGGCTTCAGCGGCGGCCTGGGCGGCGGGGACGGCGACCGGCGCCGCTCGGGCCGCGGCCGCAGGAGCCGCTCGCGCTCCCGCAGCCGCTCGGGCCGGCGGCGGAGCCGCTCGCGCGAGCGCCGGAAGCGGCGCAGTAGCTCGTCGCGGTCGTGCAGGCGGCGTCAGTTGGGCCTCCCAGATCTTGGCATCGCTCGGACGTGTGCGTTTTTTCCTCGGCGAGGACCATCGAGGAGCATCCTTGACCATTTGGCGAAAAAACCACGCACGAAACCGAAACAAACACAAGGAATGGACGTCCAAGCGATGGCGAGAGATGGGGTCCGGGCAGGCGGGCTCGGAGGAGCGTGCCGCATCGCCGACGTGCATCGGCGACGCGGCTCGATGTGAAGCCCGGTTGCCTCCACGCCGGCGTCGGTGAGGCAGCGTTGACGTCGCCGGTGCATGGCCGATGCATCGGCGATGCATCGCCGACGCATCGGCGGTGCGGGGTGAGATCCACCGGCCCCGTCTACTCGGACCCCGTGTAGGAGGCCTCTTTTTCAGCAGCTCGAAGTCGAGAGAACGCCATACAGTCGGGGCCCTGAAGAAGGAACCCTTTTCGTTGGAGAGGGGCTCCGTGTTCCTTGATTGCTTCACAATTTGCCTTGGGTTTTCCTTTGGTTTCCGATAGGAAATCAAAGTTTAACTTGTGGAAAAAAGGGTCCTCGTTCCTTATTTAGGGTTCCTTAGGTCAACGCCCCGACTGTACACATAGATTATCGACGCTCCGCGTGTCCCCACCATCGAAGAAGAGAGAACGGCATAAGCATAAGCTTTTGGCACTCCGCGCGGATTGCTTGGATCCGCGCTGGGCCCCCCCCCGGTGGCGCCTCCGGCTCCGCCCCTGGCGCGCTGCACGCGCCAGGGAGGGGGTCCAGCGCAGAGCCAAGAAATCCGCGCGGGGCGCCAAAAGTTGAGGTTTACAGTCGGGGCGCTGAAGAAGGAACCCTTTGTGCCTGGGAGGGGCTCAGTGTGCCTTAGTTGTTCTACAGTTCGCCTTTGGTATGCCTTTGGTTTTCGATGGGAAATCGAAGCTCAACTTATGGGAGAAAGGGGCCTCGTTCCTTATTTGGGGTTTCTTAGGTCAACGCCCCAACTGTATGTGATTTGTTCCTCTTCTCATATCACCACCAGCCCATCCAACACCGATACCCAGACGAGTTGAGACGATCATGCGGGAGGCTATCCTGGCCCATCTTGAGCCATCTTGAACCATCTTGGAGGCCATCCTGGAGTCTCCTGAGGCCCTCTTGAAAGCAGTTCGCCAGGCGAGTGGAGGTGTTTCTGTGAGAAGTTTTCGGAGGTCTCTTGGAGCTACTCTTGGGGCCCTCTTGGGGATCTTTCGGGGCCATCGTGGGGCCCTCTTTGGGCATTTTGGGTGGGTCTCAGAGGTCTCTTGGGGCCGCCTTGGCCCCCGTAGCTTGAAAGGAGGGGAGCTCTCAATTCAGGCCCCCCCCCCTTGGAGGCTCAAACATGCGGTCATGATGCCCTTTTGGGGCGCTCTTGGGGGGCGCTTGGGCGCTCTTGGGGCCCTCTTGGGGCTCTCTTGGGATCCTCTTGGGGCTCTCTTGGGCCGTCTTGGAGCCATCTTGGGGCCTCCGAGGCCAGTCGGAAGCGAAAAGGCGAGAAGACAAAACACATGGATTTTCCGTAGGTTGTGGAGCCATTTTGGCCTCTTGGGCACTTGAAGCTGTCTTGGAGCCGTCTTGGGGCGTCTTGGAGGTATGTCGGAGGCTATCTGGTGCCTTGATGAAGCATCTTGGACTATCTTGGAGGCCATCTTGGGCCCTCTGAGGCCCTCTTGGCGCCATCTTGGGACATCTTCGGGATTAACGCCCCGCGGTCCCCCCCTCCCAGGCCCAGGGGAAGGTAGGGGGAGGGGTCAAGCTACCCACCCGCCCGCAAGCCGTCTAGCTCACTCCCACCCGCCCTTCCAAAACATAAGAAGCACCCGAGCCTGAGCATGTTCAGCGGTCGTCTTTGTATGCGCAGCTAATTACTGGGAACCAAAGCCGACCCCAGGTGCGCGACGTTTGGGCGAGGTGCGCCACGCGTGCCAGGGGCGCCACGCGCGCCAGGCACCCCTGGGGCCCGAGCGTGCCAGGCACGCCTGGTGCGCCAGATGCGCCACGTGCTCCGAGTGCGCCAGGTGCGCCGCACACTCCAGCCGCGCCAGGTGCGCCATGTTCGGGGCACGTGCAGAGTGCGTCAGGCGCGCCTGCGCACGTGACAGCACACATCGGGGAGCATGTCGGCCCCCGCCATCCTTGTCGAAAACTAATGCCCATCATTGTGTCTGGTGGACCTGCGCACATCATGCCACGCGCCACCACCCCCGCCGTCCCTGTCAAAACCATTTGATAGTGATCGCGGGATGGCCGCGCATGATCCAGATTTAGCCGCGACATGCATCTTGTATGTTTTTTTGTCAGGGATGGTAGCCTTGCGCGCAGCAGGGAATATGCTGGTACCCCGGCCGTCCCTGTCAAAAACAATAAAAACTGTTCGCGGGCCTCACGAACATGACTCAAGACTGTGCCCCAACGTGTACTTTGCATCGTTTTTTGATAGGGATGGTGGGGGGGGGCCGCATCGGGTTGGCCGCGCATGCTCCAAATGTGGAGGCAGAGTGCGGTTTGTATTTTTTTGACAGGGGTGTTGGGGGAGGGCCCGCATGGAGTCGGCATGGTTCCTGGTTGGCCGCCAGCTGGGTGGGGGAGGGGGTGTACATTAAATCAGGAGCAGCGAGAAACCCCTTCCCCGGGGGAAGGAGGGATGTTGCCAGAGAGAAGACAACACTCGTTAAACCACCTGCGCCCATATGGCTGGTGGGTCTTTTGGCGCTCCGCGCGGATTTCTTGGATCCGCGCTGGGTCCCTCTGGCGGCACCTCTGGTGCCGCCCCTGGCGCGCTGCGCGCGCCAGGGAGGGGGGTCCAGCGCGGATCCAAGAGATCCGCGCGGCGCGCCGAAAGTTTATGTTTCTGGCGCTTCTTCTTCTGCTTCTTCTTCTTTTTCTATCTCAGTAGAGCAACTCATGGGAACCTCGCATGTCCTCGCAATTCCGTCTGTTGAGTGCATTCGCGCGCGCTAGCGTCTCGTAGTCGATGATCGAGCGTCGATCTAGCGTCCATTCGCGTCGATGAGCGTCGAATCGCAAGAGCCAGCAAGATGGCATGGGAGGCTCCCATGAGTTGCAGCAGAAGGCGGCGCGGCAGCCGCTCGCGGACCTCCTCCCCGTCGCCGGGGCCCGCGCAGGGCTGGGGCAAGGGCAAGGGCAAGGACCCTGAGATCGGGGCGCTGCAACTTTTTCCCAGCGGGCGTCTTCGCCCAGTTGCGGGCCCCGGGGCCCTCACGCAGAAAGATGGGGTCTAGGACTCTTGTCGTGATTTTTCGCGATGCTTCGATTTGTTTGCCACGTCGGATCTCAGGGCACGGCAAGGATGGCAAGGAGGGCAAGGGCAAGAGCGAGCGAGAGCGCGCGCGGCAGTTCGTGGACCAGCGCCTGTCGGTGCAGGACTACCGCGGCAACACGCAAGAGCTGGCGAGCGAGCTCCAGCGCGTCTGCAACGTCAGCGGCAAGAGGTTCCGCACCCTCTTCAACCAGACGCTGAACCAGTACGCCCAGGCCTTCTACAGCGCGGGAGGGGGCGGCGGCCCGCGGGGAGCCGCGCAGCTGAAGGCTGGCCCCCTCTCGCAGGACGAGCAGGACATGAGGGCAGCCAGAGCCGACCGGTTCAAGTCGCACCTGGAGGTAGAGAAGGCCGCCGTGGCCATGGTCAGCTTCAACGACGGCGACAGCGCCATGGTCCACGGTGGGCCCATCACCGGCGAGCTCGACGAGATGTGCTCGCGCCACGAGGCGAAGGAGCGCGAGATGACCCGCCAGCTGGACAAGTTCGAGTGGAAACAGGGCACCGACCCGAAGCACCCAGAGGTCAACCTCGTGCTCGCCACTCGCAAGTACCAGCGCAGCTCTGCCGACAAGGCGTACAAGAGCTCGGAAACGAGAACGCTTGCCGCTCTCTGGAGAACGATGCAGTTCCTGATGACACAGATCCTGGACTTCGACATCAAGCCCAAGCCGCAGTTCGCCGTCCAGAGAGTGCCCTACATCCAGTGCTACTCGTACCTCCGCGACCGCACCCGTGCCATACGCGTGGAGCTGCACCTCCAGCAGCCGCGAAGTACGACGCAGCGGACATTCCTCGAGTCGCACGAGTGTTGCCTCCGTTTCGAGCTGCTCACTATCTACCTGCTGACGAGGGAGAGCGGTGGTGTCTCGGGCGACACCACTGAGAAGTACGACCCGAAGCTTGGGCTCAAGGCCATCTCGCAGACGATAGAGCCCCTGCTGAACGCCTACCAGGCGGTGAAGGCGAAGCTGCTGACGAAGAGCATTCTTGCCGAGGCCATGGGCGGATTTGGCTTAGACGAGGGCGATGGCGAAGAGCAGGAGCATTGCTCATCGTACGAGATGGCGATGCACAGGTATATCATCCTACTGCTCATGTCTTTTTCCCCAGAGGGGATCGGGGCCCACTTGGCCAAGCTAGACAGAGAGGTGATTATCCATCCGCTCATCAGCTTCGCCACGCAGGCTTATGCCGCCTTCCAGACAGAAGACTTCGGAAGGTTCTTGCATTTCTACCGCGAGGCGGATTTCCTCACGGCGGTAGCCATGAGCGGCATAGCCGACCTCGCGCGGCTCAGGGCGCTCTTTCTACTGTTCCGCACCTACCCGCAGCCCATCGGGGACAAGGTGCCCCTCTCCAGACTAAAGACGATCCTCGCCTGCAGCACGGACGCGCACCTGCGGCAGTTCTTGACCCACCACGGGGCCGCCATAGAGCAGGGCGCCTCGGGGCCCTACATGGTACTCCCGAAGAAGGGCACTCCGCAGGCGCTGAGTCACCCGATGCTGTCGGGGCCGAACAAGCTGCCCGAGAAGTGCGACTTCCCCAAAGGGCGAGACTCGCTGCTGGACGCCAAGTTCGCCGCCCTCGGCATGTCCCGAGCCGACCTCGTCTTCGGGAGAGCCGACCCCGTGGTGGAGGTGCCGGCAGTGGAGCCCGAGCTGCTGGCGGAGGTGCAGGCTGCGCCCGCGGCGGCCGAGCCGCCTCCGGGCGAGCCGGCCGCCGCGGACGGTGCCGACATCGCCATGCAGCCGCCCGCCGCTGGCCCCGCCGCAGGTGGTGCGCAGGAGGCTGCCGCCAGCGGGGCCGGTTAGCCGCCGCTGGGGCCCGCACCGCTGGCTCACCGCCGGCTCACCGCGAGGCCCACAGAGCGTTCGGGCGGCCGCCGCGGCAGCCCCCCGTCGCGCGGGGTGCCCTCTGGTGGCGGCGCGCGCGCGGGCGGGCCTGGCGGCGGCCGATGGGCCCGTGCCCGCGGGGTGCCGGCCGCGCTGAGCATGCGTAAAACAGTTGGGCCTCGAGCCACGCCTCCTTCCCTGCTTCCTTGTCAAGGGAAGAGGAACCACCCCAACCCCCGTGTTCCCCCATGGTCCGCCTGAACTGCGCAGCCCCGGGCATCTGCTCAAGACAATCCTGCCTCGTTCGACTCCTTCCTTGCAGGGTGTTGCCGAAACGACATGGCGGCGCTCGTCGGGGTGCATCTCACGAGGCTGGCCTTGCTGCCCTCGACCCTGTTTCCCTGGCAGCACGCAGCCACGCGCAGAGAGGGGTATGGGGGGTCCAAACACACATTTGTATCTGTCATCTGTTTCGTACATGTTTCGTTTACATGTCGTATACGTTTCGTATACATTGTGTTTACGTTTCGTATGCGTTTCGCATACCTTCCATTCACGTTTCGTATTTCTGTGCTGTTGTTGCTATTGTTATTACTACTACTACTTTTGCTGCTACAGCTGCTACTGCTACTACTACTACTACTACTACTACTACTGCTACTACTGAGACTATGCCATTTCTTATTATTACTACTGCTACTACGACTACAACTACGACTAAGACTACGACTTCGACTGCGACAACGACTACGACTACTACTACTACTACTACTACTACTAGTATTTCTTATTTCCAGTACTACTACCACACCGCGACTACTACTACGACGATTACAATTACTACTACTACTACTACCACTACTACTACTACTACTGCTGCTACTACTACTACTACGACTACTACTCCTACCACTACTACTACTACTACTACTACTACTACTACTACTACTACTACTACTACTACTACTACTACTACTACTACTACTACTACTACTACTACTACTACTACTACTACTACTACTACTACTACTACTACTACTACTACTACTACTACTACTACTACACTACTACTACTACTACTACTACTACTACTACTACTCCTACGACGTCGACGACGACGACGACGACGACGACGGCGACTACTACTACTACTACTACTACTACTACTACTACTACTACTACTACTACTACTACTACTACTACTACTACTACTACTACTACAACTACCAGTACTAGTACTACTATTACTACTACTAGCTTGACTGTTATTATTGTTACTGCTACTACGACTACGGCTACGACTAGGACTACTACCATCACCACGACTACTGCTACTACTATTACTACTCCCACTCCTTCTCCTGCTTCTACTCCCGCTACTACTACTACTACCACTACCACTACAACTACTACTGCTTCAACTTCTGTTGCTGCCGCTGCTGCTGCTGCTCCTGCCGCTCCTGCGACTGCTACAGCTATTGCTACTACTACTACTACTATTACTACTACTACTACCACTACTACTACTACTACTACTACTATTACTACTACTACTACTACTACTACTACTCCTACTACTACTACTACTACTACTACTACTACTACTACTACTACTACTACTATTACTACTACTGCTGCCACTACTAGTGCTACCTACTTCTTCTTCTTCTTCTACTACTACTGCTACTACTATTACTAGTACTACTACTCTTACTACTCCTACTATGACTACTCGTACACATACTTCTAGTCCTACTACGCTTACTACTACTACTGCTACTACTACTACTACTACTACTACTACTACTACTACTACTACTACTACTACTACTACTACTACTACTACCACTGCTACTACTGCATACGTACCGCGGTCGTAGAAAGTACAACACGAGAGTTTCAAGTACATCCAGCATGGTAAATGTTTGTCATACAGGAAACTTGTCGTTTTCAAAGCATGAGACCGCTCGTCTTCCAGTAAGCCTCGCGACCACCGGTCACAGACAGCCCCAACGGCCACAGGAAGGCCATCACCCACGAGCCCCGGGCCACAGAAAGCCCCGACGGGCCACAGAGAGCCCCAACGGGCCACAGACAGTACCAGTCGCGCTCGACTTTGTCCCCCCGCGCCAGGCTCGCCCGCGCGGAGGCGGGCCTGGAGGCTGACAGGGCGACGACGCTGCAGGGCTGGAAGGAGGCCGCTTGGGTGGGGGTTCGGGAGAGAACGAGGTACCGATGCTGCTGCCCTTCCCTCGTCGCTGCGGCTGTAGTCGTCACGCCTGCCAGCATCGGACGAGAGACCCAGCCATATGCAGCTGCGAGATCGGCGGAAGAGATGAGACGAAGGAGGAGAGCACGCTAACCCCGGATAGCGCACGCGGCGTACCCTCCGCTCTCATAGGCAGCGCGCCGCAGGAAGCACGAGGCGCGGGGCAGTGAGGGCAGGGGGGGGAAGAATGGGTGGGACGAATGCGAACTCTCGGTGGAGCTCCCTATGGGGACACGAAGCGTTATACTGGGTGTGGCGGTGGAGCCCCCTAAGGGGCCACGAGACGCTGTATTGGGTATGGCGGACGCATGCGGGCACCCCCATTGGGGCCTTCGGTGGATCGCTCTATGGGGCCACGAAGCGCTGTACTGGGAGTGGCGGACGCATGCGGGCTCCCCGAATGGGGCCTTCGGTGGATCGCTCTCTGTGGGGCCGCGAAGCGCTGTACTGGGTGTGGCGGACGCATGCGGGCACCTTCACGGGCCTTCGGTGGAGCTCCCTATGGGGCCACGAAGCGCTGTACTGGGTGTGGCGGACGCATGCGGGCCCCCCCACTGGGGCCTTCGGTGGAGCTCTAATGGGTGAGCTCTAATGGGTGTGGCGGGCGCATGTGGGCACCCCTACTGGGGCCTTCGGTGGAGCTCCCTATGGGGCCACGAAGCGCTGTACTCGGTGTGGCGGGCGCATGCGGGCACCCCCACTGGGGCCTTCGGTGGAGCTCCCTAAGGGGACCACGAAACGCAGTACTGTGTGTGGCCGGCGCATTTGGGCCCCCCCACTGTGGCCTTCGGTGGAGCTCCCTGTGGTTCCGCGAAGCGCTGTGCTGGGTGTGGCGGACGCATGCGGCCCCCCCCCACTGTGGCCTTCGGTGGAGCTCCCTGTTGTGATATGGATCGGCGCGCGGCGCCCGGGGAGCCCTTACTTTCTCACGGGGTGAGGCGATGCGTGGTTCTAAGAGTGAGGGCCCTAAAAGTTTTGGTCCAAAGCGGCGGCAGGGAGAGGGGTGAGAGGAGCAAGGGCAGAGGCAGGGAAGGGGCGGGGATCCAGGCCTCGGCGGGGCCCGATGGGTATCCAGGGGAATCCCTCGGGCACTTCTATTCTCCTGCGGGAGTGAGCTTGAATCACACTCCTCCTTGGCACCGTCTGGGGCGTCCCTGGCGGTGACCAAATATCAAGCCACTCACATGCTACATGGCGTTCTGCACCGTGGCGTTCGTGGGAATATCCTCTCCGGGTTCGTATCGGAGCACGGCCTGCTTGTGGCAAATGGTGACGACATGTATTGGGAGTTGCAGTGGACGTTTGAGAGCAAGCGCAAGATCGATGATCTATATCTGTATCTATAGTAATCTGTAGATGTGGTTTCTCCCAGTCCCTGTGTAGCATACCGGTCTACATCATGTTGCTGTCACTGCAACTGTGATGGCTCAAGTTCTGATGTGGGGGTGGGCGCCAGTCGTCCTCGCGGCCGCCAGGGACCTCACCACCCTTGGCCTTCATTACCAGACCGCGGCGATCGCCGCCCAGTGTCCGAGTCTGCCTGCGATCCCTGCTTGCCCCGAGCTGGTGTGCTCGTCGGGGCCTCCGCTCCCGGCCTGCCCGGCTGCGCACTGTGAGTGCACGTGCCCCAAGCCCGAGGCGGGCAGCTGGCTGCTGCTGCTGGGCGCGGGCGTGGCCACGGGCTGCGCGCTGGCGGGTCTGGTGCTCGGCGCTGCCGTCGGACTCTACGTTGGCCGACTCGCGGCTCGCGGGACGAGTGCATCTGTGTGTCCGCCCGAGGCTCTGCGTGACGCTCACGTGGTGGAGCCTGCTGCGGGACTAGAGACAGCGAGGGCGCTGGTGGTGACGCCAGCATCGAGGAGAGATGGCGGCCAGGCCGCGCTCGCTTGACATACGGGAGCCGCAGATCGTCGTGAATTTCCCTCTGGATGCTCTGCCGTGGCATCATCGGATTCTACTGCACGCCATGGGCGACGGGCGCTGGATGTGCCTGACGCCAGATATGGAGATCACGCAGCACAACTTGAACGAGCTGCGCCACTATGTCCTCGATCGGAATGCGCAGTTTCCTCGGTGGGTGCTGGCTGGGCTCTATGCTTTCGACCCCATCGACCACGGGGAGCTGCTTGAGCTGAAGCGCCAGGCCCGACAGCGCGCGGCGCTGCTGGGGGCTGGCGATGCCGAGGATGAGGCGGACCTCGCTTGGGTGCTCGCCGAGCCGCGGGACGCGAGGTTCGGCGAGGTGGTGCCTGCTGATGTGGTGGAGGACCCGAATCGTTGTGCCCACCTGCGAAGGAAGGGCATCGTGATGCTGGACGGGCAGGAGCGGATGATCGAGCTGATCACCCGCGACGAGAGGGATGACTGGATGAAGGAGCGCAAGGAGAGCTGCGTCGACATCCGCCTGAACGGCGACCAGCGGACGAAGATCGGCCGCAGGGACGTGGACTTTCGTGACGCCGTGGAGCAGATGGAGGAGGTGGAGCTCGCCGACTACACCGACTTAGGGCCGCGCGCGATGGGCGAGTTCGTCACGTCGGTGGCCGTCGGCAGCGGGAACCTCACGAGCTACCAGGCCGAGTAGGAGCGCATGAGCGGGGTCTTCTCAGGGGGTGCCCAATGCCACGAGCACCGTTCGCTCCTGGAGATCGCCCGCCGTGCGATTTGCATGGACCAGCTCAATGTGAAGAACCTCCACTGCATGGAGGCT